TTGAATTAAAGGGATACATGTTTATTAAATTGAATGAAAATCGTCTTCTCAAGAACTGCAGGGCCTTGATAAGTCATATTTATATGGATGAATCTTCAAGTATTGGAGATTCAAATACACTGTATGTGTCCAAATTATGACTCTATGGGTTAGGTTTGGGTCACAATGGGCGATCAAAGTGTCACAAGACAATATTAAAGAGAAATCTTTGAAAGTTCTCCTCTTAAGAACAACAAAGCTATGATTAATCATATTTATATATTGATGAATCTTCAAGTAGTGGAGATTCAGATATGTTCAAACTATGACCCTAGGGTTAGGGTTGGGCCAAAATCTTCTTCTCATGAACAACAAAGCCACGATTAATTATATTTACATGTATATTGAAGCATCCTCGGGTAGTGTAGGCAAATAGTTTGTCAAATCATGGCCTCCAGGGATTGGGAGGGGCCCCATTTAAAATCAAATTTCTGCTTGGGAATATATGGGTGAAAATTGAAAATCGTCTTCTCAAGAACTGTAGGGCTTTGATTAGTCATTTTTATATGGAGGAATCATTATTTATTTCATTTTTAAGTTTTTCCATGTAACGACCCCTTGGTTTAAAGTGGAAGCACAATGGACGATCAAAGTTTTACAAAAGAAAATATTCACAAGAAATTTTAGAAAATCTTCTTCTCAAGAAGACCGTTCACGGTAGCTCAGTCGGTAGAGTGATCGGGAGGTCGTGACAGACCTAAGTCGATAAAAAAAATGGGTAGCAACTGTTCCCTTCGTTATGTACTCGGCACTTCGAAGTGAAAGTTGCGGGTCTTTCGGATGAGACCTTAAAAACCGAGGCCCCGTGTCAGGGCAGGCGTTGGCACTATAATGATCCCTCACTGCTCAATTGCCCTGAGTGCCGAGTAAAGGTCAAAATTTAAAGCCCTTCACCGGAAGATGGTGACGACTCTATATGAGTGGAACATTCTCGAATGGGACGTAAAACAACATACAATCAATTAATCAATCTTCTCAAGAACAGCAAAGCCAAGATTAATCATATTTATATGGAAGTATCCTCAGGTAGTGTAAAATAAATTTGTTTAAATCATACCCTCATGAATAGATTGGGGCCACAAGAATGGATAAAATGTTTTACGAGGGAGTACATGTATGTAGGAAAAATCTTTAAAATCTGTCGTTTTGAGAACAAGAAGGCTATGATATACCAGCATCCTCAGGTGATACAGATTCAAGTTTGTTCTAATCATGGGTCTTGGGGAGGGTGGGACCACAATTAAGGATGAATAAAAGAATGGGGAGAATATTTCTATAATTTTTTTTTTCTTTTTTCCATGAGGGAGGTTAGGGTGACATATATTGAAATTCATCTATAATTCATTTACTTCTGAATTTAAAGGGGCAAACTGCATGAATATAACAAATAAAGAGTTTTCATCAAACTGTTAAATGTATGTCATATAAGTTTAAGCCAGCTTCGGGTGTGTTAAAAGTGTCCATAACCTGAAAAAGTCAGGATACTCAGGTGACCGTTAAGGCCCATTGGCCTCTTGGTTTGAAGTTCTAAGTACCTTTCCGTAATTTTCATATATTTCATTGATATTTCCTTGCTGCATATCATATTAAAAGACGGAGTGTGAGCAGATCAAACTATCGAAGTATAATACATTATTATTATTATTATTTTCATCATCATCATCATCATCATCATTATTATTAAGGTCTTTCGTCTTTACGGAAGACCTTTTAATGATTCTACTGTTTCCTACAATTATTCTTTTTTTTAGACAAAATTTTATGCGGGCAATTTCTCGAAAGCTATTGAATGGATTTGGATAAAATTTTCAAGGATAAAAGGTCTTCATTAGAAGATGATATAAAATTCTGTTTTTTTTTTTGTTTTTTTTTTTAATTCGCTTCCAGATTCAAGTTTGGGCATTTTCCTGATTTTAAAATGATTTTTTTTCGCGCTTTTTCTAAAGAATTGTTAAAGATAGGAACTGGGGACACGTCAGAGATAAAAGAGCATAAGTTTTAGTTGTGGAGCGATCTTTGTATTACTCGTCAGTACTTTCACTCGCTACTGGAAGCGAATATAAAAAAATCATTCTTGTCATTTTTCAATATTTTTCTTTATATTAAAAGGGTTAAAAGAGATCCTTTTCAAAATACTAAATATAAAATGTGTTTTAAAATTGATGAATCCAAAACTTTAGATATTCTACATTTTTCACAAGCTATTATCCTGCAAGCTTAATGGTTGGCGCAATTTGTCGCGGACGTCTAAGAAAACATTGGATTGAAATTCCTGTAAGAATTAGAATTTTAATCCAATGTTTTCTCAGACGTTCGTATAGAATTTATCTCAGACATCTAAGCAAAAATAAATGAAACGAATGTTTTTCCCCAGAGGTCCACATCGAATTTACATGTATCGCGGACATTTGAGAAAACATTAAATTAAATTGAATGTTTTCTCAGACTTCCGCGTCGATTTCTTTTTTTCGACGTTGGAGAAAACAATAAATTTAAAGTCTAATTTTAACTAGAAATACAATCTTATCTTTTTTCTGATGGTTTCATCAAACTGTTCCCAGCATTTTTTTTTTTTTTTTTTGAGGGGCTGGACCCCCATTCTAGCACGCACGTTGATATACAAATGTGCTCCCTACGGCTATATATGAAGTCTACATATTATCAATTAGTTTGACAATAAAATGTGGATTAATATATTTTAGAATGTGATTATTTTTGTCCATTCAAGCTTGTTTTAATTTTATTATTTTTATTTTTACAAGCTACTATAATAGCTTGATCCACCCTCAAGTACAGAGAAACTACGTGTCAAACTAAGAAATGACGTCATCTCAGTAAGTACAGCGAGGTCAAGCTGGCTTTCATTCTACATATTCAAAGTGCTATTTTGGCAAAATAAGTTTCACATCCATCTATCTACAAATAATTATGAGAAACGAAAAATTTTAGTGTGTTTTAAAAAGAATATATAGTATTTTTTCATCGAGTTTCATTTCAATTGTTTTAACGTGACGTCATAATAGCTTTTTTCGATCCTCTGCATAGACTGAGGTAGATATAAGAGTCCTTTACCTAGCTGCGACCTTCTAGTTGCCATGACAACAAGTTTCTATTTATAATAATAATAATAATTAGTAGTAGTAGTAGTAGTAGTAGTAGTAGTATTAGTAAGGTCTTCCGTCTTCACGGAAGACCTTATAATGAATCTACTGTTTCTCATTATTTTAATTATTTTTTTTTTTACTTCTGTATTTTGCGGCGCAATTTGTCGAAGACTATTGGACGGATTTTGCATGAAATTTTCAGGAATTATGTGCTGTAACATGAACTTGATCTATCTGAGAGAAAATTTGACAATCACTTCCGCTGCCGATTTACGGATCATTTTCTGAATTTCAAATAATATTTTATCCGCGGTTATTCTCCAGAACAACAAGATATTCAATGTCAAACTTTCAGGGATTTAGGATTGTGATAGATTCTAGACTGGTCGCTACTTTTCGTTCGTCGTCGGCATCTCCTGTCGGTCACGGAAGTGAATCTCAAAGCTTGATTTTTTTCCAAACTTTTTTTTTCCATGAAATTCATAGGGCTAATAAAGAGTTTTATTAGAATGCAAGATATATAATTTGTTTCAAAACTTCTCAATCCAATTTCTAGATATTCACCTCTTAGGAATGCCAAAAACTTGTTCTACGTTAACAATTTATCTGTTAAACACTACAAAATAAAAAAAAAAAAGAAATGTTATTCCATATATATTTTATGTATATGTCAGGAATGAGAAGTAAGAGGGATTGCACAACGGTAATACATATTGTGTTATAAGTAATAGCTTTTCAAGAAGCTTGCCTGATTAAAGCAATCAATATTTAAAGGAAGTATTACGTGACAAAGGTTTCTTTCGCATACCGGTCTCGTCTTCGATTAAAAGTATAGCAAACCACAAACATAAGAAAAGCCTTTTAATGTTTGTTTTTTTTGTTTTGTTTTTTTTGTTTTGTTTTGTTTTTTTTTAATAAAGGGAATATTACATGTACATCTTTTTGAAAGGCGTAATGAATGATTGATTGATTGTTGTTTAACGTCCCTCTCGAGAATTTTTCACTCATGTGGAGAGGCCACCACTTGCCGGTGGAGGACTACAAATTTTGACCTATACTCGGCACTTAGGGCCATTAGCAGTGAGGGATCTTTTTCGTGCCAGCACCTGCTACAACAAGGACTTCGGTTTATACGGTCTCATCCGATGGACCGGTCTCCACGTCCCACAGTGGGATTCGAACCTGCGATGTAAGGATCAACTTCTTACTCTGCGACTCTAGAGCAAACGCTCTAACCACTGCGCCTCGCGGGCGACGAAAGGCGTAATAACGCTCATTCACTTTCCTGTTGAGTTGCGTACATGTATTAACGCTTTTCTTTTCAATTTGCGTTATAACGTCTTTTGAAAGGCGTAATAATGCCTTTAAAAAAGAGTTATTACTCCCGCCTTTGCATTTTAACGCATTTCACTTTATTAATTATATAAGCCGTTGAAATTTCTTTCCCATATAGTTTGATCCTTGTAGCCTTTTGTACATGTACACTGTAGGGACATGCATACATGTAAAAGACCTGTAAGTGCAAGAACAATAACTAAGACTTCTTAACTTTTTTACAATACCTGGCATCAAAAATGTAAACCGGCCCATTATTGAAAATGCTGTGATATTTACATGTAGTTGCAAGGTCGTATGAAGAACGTTGATATTCAACTATCAAAATCAGAAACAGTTACATGTCATGTCTATAGAACTTTTCGTTTATATCAAAAGAAAGGTTGATTTTTTTCTCTCTGGGTATTTCTTTGCCTCATTATTTGCATAATGTTATTTGGAACACTAGTAACGGGTAAATTAAACTTATATTTACAAACATTGTGTGAATATACAGCATATCTGAGCCTTTGAATTTTATCGATACACGATATTTTACATTCTCTCATGACAAAATTGGTATTGATAAATTATTTTGCCAGGAAAAAAGAACGTTTTTCCGAGAGATATGGAAGACATTGGATACAAAAAACAAATCTTTGCAGCGGCATCTTGATAGAGACAGACGATTTGCAGTTGGATTTCATGACAGTAAAAGTATTGAAAAAATTAAGCTTTCAATAGCTGATGTTGTGCAAGGACTTGATCACTGGGGGGAAGAACTTCCACGCTCTTGGGTTATGTTTGAAAAGTATTTCCAGGAAAAGAAGTCTCTGAGGGTAATGAATATAGAATCACTTTTGGCTTTCAATGAAGCATTGCCACAGGAAATAAAGCTCCAAACTATCGAGGACATCAGTGTGATGCTGCAGTTTTTTCATGACATAAGAGAAATATTATATTACAACCAAGAATTCCTCAATAAACTAATTATTCTTGATCTTCAGTGGTTAGCAGATGCATTCAAAAATGTTATAACTGATAAAAACCATGCTGAGGAGGATTTACTTGAAGATGCATCAGAGTGGGACAAATTCAATGAAACTGGAGAATTGAGTGTTGAATTATTGTCAGCTATCTGGAAAATGAACAATAATGGCTATATTGAACATAAAGATGAGATTATGCCATACATGGAGAAGCTAGGACTTTTAGCTAGTATGGATGACCAATTTCAGAAATGGTATGTTCCCTGTATGAACAAAATTCCATTTCATACTGGTAGCTTTACAGATTACCCTGCTTCATCCATCATCTGCTACATGTTTGATGTTCTTCCTTCCGGAATCTTTCAACGCCTTGTAGCGACATGCATGCAGATTCCTTGGGAGATCTTTTCTGATGGAGATCGAGGATGCATTTACCAGACTGCTGCTGTTTTCGTGCTTCAAGACCAGCACCATAACATTCTGCTTGGAATGACCGAAACAGAAATTCAATTGCAAGTTTTTGTTACGGATGGAGAAGTTGATATTGCTACATGTCAACAGATAAAAGAAACAATTGATAATATTTTATGCAACCTTTCCAACACATTCCAGAAAAACGTAAAATTCCACGTTGCCTTCAAATGCAAACCTGTTGGATTTTGTGATAGTGAAAAAAGTGCTGTCATTATTGATTCCAAGTTTACAAGGGCAGATTTCCAGTGTCCGTCCTGTCCGGCAAGAAGAAAGCATAAAATTATCAGCAAAGATATTACAAAATATTGGAAAAAGGTACTCTAGTATACTGTCTATAATTAAAAACGTATATCTTCAAAAATCCTTTATATATTACAGAATGCTTTTAACAAGTACTGGACAGGCGGGTTAAAAAATTATCCTTAATTATATATTACTGCCAAAAGCCTCATCATAATTTTAAAAGCGGGCACTGTTGAATATTGACTTTTTCATATTACAAAGCAAATTTCTACTTTAAAAATCCTTGTTTTAAGTAATGAAGTGCTTCTATAGAAAACGATCGCGATTTCCATAAATTTCTAAATTTAGCAGAGTATATTTTAGAACTCAGTTTAAAACGGAACCTATTTTAACAATTGATGACTCAAAGATATCAGGAAATGTACTGGTTCTACAAAAAATGTTTCAGCTAGAATCTTTCATGAAATGTTATGTGTTATGTGACTAAGATGCAGGATCTGTTTACAAACAGGAACAGCAGCAAAAGAATGTCGACAAAGAAGGAAATCTCACCAGACCATGTATGTATCTTTATTGTCAATTGTACCTCCTATTTGAAATTTTAATATAAGATGCTGTTTAACATTCAAAATAACTTTGCGTCCATCTTTTGAGATTCTGTAAAGGCGTGCTGCAATCCAAACATAGGTCAATGCGTCGTCTTTTTAAGTTGATATTATCAGACATAATGTTTCTTGGTTTTGAATAAACTATGAAATCTTTTCCTAACGCTTAACATGTGCCCTCGTGGCTTAGTTTTAACATTAAAATAGGTACTTCGGAGAGAGTATATTAATCTTTTGCTTTATTACTATAGCAACAGAATTCATTTTGAATGTGGTGTCAAGAAAACTACATGGAATTCCCTCATCTATACTTGCTGCTAGTTTGGGGGTAGACATGGAAGAAAACTCGCCAATATGTATTGAAGAAGATAGATTTAGAATTCTGTATAAATGGAAATGCAAATGTTCATCCAATATGGATCACTTAAAAGAACTGGTGAAAATTTTAAGGGAAAATGAACAAGGTGAAGCAGCAGATTATGTCAGTTCATTTCAAATATCAGAATTTGAGTGCAGCGACATATTAAGACCAGGGGAATCAGTTTCATTGAGAGAATTCGCAATATTATCCCAAAATCTCTCAAAAGATTACACTCATTTTATTAGATTTTTATGTCTTCAGCATAAGTATATCGAACAGATTGAGGCAAATGCAACGAAAATTGAGGATAGAATATATAGAGCTCTCTTAAAAACAAAAGAAGAATGTCCAAATTTATGTCGTCTAGACATATGCAGGGCGCTAAAATTTATAGAAAGAAATGATGTCATCGACGAATTAAATGCTCAGTGGGAATCTTAAAAAATGAGAAAAAATGAACTTCCGTAATGATTGTTTTGCAAACCATAATCCTTTGAAGACCAAAAATATAATTATATACGTGTAAATAAGTATATAAGCATGGCATTTTTTTCCCCAAATGATTAACATTTTTAATATTTGTACATAATTTATTATACTTATCATTTATTATGTTTTATTATGATTCATGCCATTTTACATACACTAAGCCAGAAATGAAATTATCCTTTTTTTACAGTTTTCCTCGTGTAAATTCAGATTTATTCTAAAATCGGATGTGGAAGCATTAGGAAGACGTATTTAGTAAGTCACTTCGTCTCGAAAGGGGATGTAGGCAATCTTTTGCTAGAAGATTCTGTCATTGTCATTCGTAAACTTTGAAACACAACCGGCTTCCTCTTTGAATTGACGAGCAATTGTAATATAGTGTACTATGGTTACCGATCTCGTGTACGTACAACTTGGCTTTTCACCTACTTATAAATTAGTTCAAAATATAATGTTTCATTGTCCGATATACATCATGTTTTAGAAATTTGAGAGTTAAATCTTTACTATTTATCTTGGCCACTGTTTGCCATAAAACATTATGAAAAACATTAAAGTTACAGACCACTTGTCCTTGACCTGTGACCTACTTTGCAAAAATATTTTGCACAGTTGATTTAACTTATGTCTTTTGAATTATGAGAGGCATGGTTTTTATAATTAGACTTTTTATAACATTTTTATAACATTTTATGAACTTATGAAACTGCATGCTAGACAGTTACCAAAAAAGCTATAATTTAAAATACAATGTACTCTTCGAAAAAAAACATCGGATTCGGTATACCGTTGTAGAAAGACAATTGCAGCAAAGAAAAACTGATACCTATTTTGGAAATAAAAAAAAAATAGTGTTATCTCAATTTCAAGACTTATTTCAGATTCTCTGGGCTGGGGATTTCTATTTGATTGTCAGATTTTATACATGTATGATGAATGCCTTTTTATTTGTTTTTCTATCCATGGATTTTTTTCTTTGCAGGCAAATGCCTGAACTATAATGCTAGTGTTATATAAGTAGACCACCCCTAGATTTATTTTAATATTTAATGATATTTTAACGTAGGCCATACCTGTGTTCATAGAAACACTATAGTTATACTTATGTTTGAAAACACACAATTTCCTATAATTTACTCCCATGAAAAATGTTTGAAGACAAACTATTAATAAACAGCAATCTCTCCTGTTTTATGGGAACTAAGCCTACATGCAAATAAAATAATGTCAGGCCTGTCGTAATTAATGACGAGTAGAGTAATAGATCTATACTGAAGATTTTGAGATATGAGGGCAGATAACTCCTTCAAAACAATATCACAGTATTAGATTACTTTTTATGTAGTATTGAAAATGCAGCGTTATACTGCATATAAAAGACAATTAAATACACAATCGGTTTGCCCATGCTCGAACATCTGTGACTTCTTTGTCTTTAAAGCATTCACGGACCTCCTGAAAGATTAAATCATTTCCAGACTGTCATCTAATAGACAGAGCAATATTGCCTGTAGTTCAACCCATGCCTTGGCGATTTTTTTTAAGTAAAATGAGTTGGTCCTCTTTGCAGTATTCATTTAGACTTTGAAAAAAAAAATACATTTTTTCTTCTTTACCTACATATGTAATTACCAATTGGACATTCTGTGATAAGTTTACTTGGTAATGTCTTATGACTAGACCTTCACACCTTGGAAGGGGGAGGGCAGATGTAGCTCAACACAATTCTATGCTCTAGATCAGTATATATTATGTAGTGTGGTAATTTTCCTCCAAATTAATTCTGAAGAAAACAAATGAAAGATATGTCTGTTATTATTAAATTTTTATTTCATGATGGATGACCCGTAGTTCTAACGGGCAGAGGCCAGGGTAGGATTTGTTTTTTCACTGTCAGTTAATCGAATGGAGACTTCGAGATAACGATGCTCGATTGGGCGTTACTAAAAATTCGAGATTGGACATCGCCACAGTGTTTTAGCCGTAATTAATTCTTGCTGACCTGAAGCTAAATAAGAAATCAGGCCTCTTTCTATGCCTCCCCCTTTGAGCTGTGTTAACGTTATCCTCTAGAACATAAGGCATTGGCGCCGACTTTTGGAGGTGGGGGATGAATTAAACTTAACGAAAAATGAGTTTGCACATAATTATTGCTTTTTCTCTCTTTTTCTCTCTTGAATTTCCGCATGCTGTCTGTTGAAAGTATTCAAAAGGGAGGTTAAAGTATACGTCTTATTTTGACGTCAAAAACGCTGTGGAATTGCAACGTCATAAGTGAAAATCAAAATTCACGCTCACATTGAACAGAAGCTATTGCAATGGCTCTTCCATTAATTGTAACTTACTCGAAGGATAATACAGGGATTTTGAAATATAAATCACATATTTACAGTCAAGACAAGGAGTTAAAACATGTAAATATAAGCATTGAATCATTATTTTTTGAAAGATATAGTCTCATAACTGCAACGGAGTGTGCAAACAAATTTTCATAACGCGTTAACGCGCGTTACTCAATTTGTTTGCACACACCGTTGCAGTTATGAGACTATATCTTTCAAAAAATAATGATTCAATGCTTATATATATATATATATATATATATATATATATATATATATATATATATATATATATATATATATATATATATATATATATATATATAGAAAGCACTAAAAAAACCAACAAGACTGTATACCCTAAGTGTCGGATCTACTAAATAGATACAAGGTCAAGGATGGAAATTTATATAAAGCACTCAAAATGACCAACGACACGAACAATAGAAATTGTCAAATTTTCGGGACGCCCTGTCCTTTCCTCAGGACAACGAAAAAAGTTAAGAAGTCATAAAAACCAAGGAAATAGAAAAACAAAAACGGCTAGCACTACTACTAAACTACCAAACACTATTTATTTACAATGTTACATGTTGAATTTGAATTTTATAATCAGTTGTAAAGAAATAAATCCGGACCGCTATGAAATACGTCCGGTTTCTCGGGTGTACTCTGGTGAAGTGCGATTTACATATTTGAACGATTTTTTTTTTTATCTTTAAGGGTTTCCTTTTTTATAACCATTATCAAATTTAATAAAAAAAAAAAAATAAATAATTCAAAATTTATGTTAGTTGTTTAATTTTTCGTTTAAAGTCATCATTTATTAACTTCTTTGATCGATACAATAACCTTGTCAGCAAATACAATCTATGATTTTGTCTAATGCTGACTTACGTTTTTGGGAGCTGATTCAATCAACTTCTCATAGTCGGTGCGTCAGGAAAATGCAACTGACAAACAGACGCCACGGGAAATGGGTATTGTGAATAAGAAAATAGTTCCTCATTGAACTTACTTTGAAGAAATTATAATTCTTCACAAAAGTGCGCAGTGGCTCTGTAGTCAACTTTGTTTTGTCATTTTAATTTCGTTTAATGCATTTCACCTCAGTATTCATGCCGATTCCGATATGTGTTCTTACATCTTGCAAGTACATTGTATTCTAATATTAAGACCGAAAATTCGCTCCTAAAATAGCTTAGATACGTCATTTCTTCAATAGGTAGAGAAGCTGAAGGTAAATTCTGGTGATTAAATGACATTGCATAAACACGTATTGCTACAGTATGCTTAGACAATACAATAGCGAATAACAATCTGATTAATAATCAGATATGCATTTGAGTGCATTAAGAAATACAGAGAACACAACTGCAACCTCTAGCTGTTATGTTTACGGATATGTATGCGCGGGACGGATTATCACAGTGGGCATTGTGTTCTTCTGAATCTCTAATATGTGTGAAGTTCTAAAGCCGCAGGTAAGAGCTCCCCACTGCAGCAGAAGTGACCTACTGCATGGACAAACTTTACTTCTGATTTAGCAGCCTTTTCTTTGTGTACCTGGAGTGATAATTAATGATAGTATACACAGGATTGATTTTTTTAGATGAGTAATTTATGATGCTTATTTATTCTTTTTTTCCAGGAAAGTTGTACATATAATTGTCTCAATAATTAGTTGATCGTTAAATGAGCAGATTCGAAGTGGATTCAGATTTTCGCAGAAAGGGGCACATTGAGTATTTTTTGGCGTTGATGTAGCCCATTTCTTTCTAACACATTTTGCGAACACAGACCAAATATGATGCTTTTTGGTTTAGATCTTATCTCGCTTCAATCTTAATAAATAGATTTTATCAAAACCAGTCCCAAATATATAATGATACGTTTAAAAATGAATTATGCCAGGCGATAAGGCTAATTAATTTGTCATAAATAAACGAAGTCTATTTTTTAATACACTTTTACATCATATAGTGTGTCTGAATACAAATACTTTGATGTAATATTTTGCTCCTCAGACCTTTTCTCATTTGCTCAAAAGCAACTCTATCAAAACGCAGAGAAATAAAAATCATTTCTTAAAACGAGAAAAAATATTTTAACTTAATTCATCTTAAAAGCTCTCTTTACATTTTTTACCATACTATTTAAAACCTACTTCATTAATGAAAGTAAGAATTCTATAAAAGATTTACCATCATACACACTGTCAATTACTGGCTACACCTTTCCGGAGACAACGATAAGAATATGGGATTAGAAAACTAGCCACGGCCTTTCCCTATGGATGCAATGACGATGTCGATAGTGTTGGGGAACTTTCCAGTCCACAGTATAACAATGCAAATGTAATGGGACTTTTTAACCATACACAGAGACGTAAGCGTAGTCATAGACACTGGTTTTACAATAAACCTTTAATACACGATGTAACATGATTTATTACTACCTAAATGTAAATCAACAGTTAGGTCTTCATCACATCCCAAACGTTACTCTGTCCCTTTGAAACTTTTAAATGGTCTACTTGAAAAGGTCAAGGAAAGCCCATTTTTTGATTCCTCAACAGTAGAATACAGGCTCGGTTCTGTGGTTATAGAT